ATTTCGTCTGAAATAAATATATGTATATTACATTTCTGTAGAACAATGATTCGCACCCATTTTGAAATTGCCACCAACTATACTGTAAAGCTTCTAGGACATTCACTATAGAACCGGGTCATTGTAACCGCCAGAGAGTGAAGAGGAAAACCGTTGGAGAGTTTCAAGAACTTCTTCACGGTTGTAACACCTTCCATAGGTTATCTAAAGCGGCAAATGACCACCAAACCATAATCTTAGCAGATAAATGTGCCAATGAAAATCGTAAACGTGATTTGTTCGTGAAAATGTTGGACCAAAAAGTTTCAATCAAAAAATAAAAATTTTGGGCGGGACTAAGTTCGCCGGGTCTGCTAGTACTTTATCAAAACGAAATTATTATTATTATTTTTTTAGCTCCCTACAACTTAATATTTCTACAATCGTAAAATTATAGCTACTACCTTTAGATACGAATATACATATATTATAATATTTCCCCATATGGTATGGAAGAGTCTATAGATTTCGTTTGCGGTATATAATCGTAAATGCGCTTAATTTTTACTTCTCCACATTTTGTCGGGTACCCGGGTACACGGATAATTACCATATTTCCCGGGTACCCGGATAGTACAATACCCTGGTACGGCAGCTTTGCAATGAGCTGGGATTTATTCAGGGATGCATTCATGCAGAGGTCCACTGTGGTTTGTAAGCTGTAGCTTACTACCATGCCAAAAACTACTCCGGGAGTGGAGTGGGAGAGATGCTTACAGCATCGTGTGATAGCCAAGCTGGGGTTAGCATAGACCATGGCTGAAATTGTCAGCGACTTATCACTTCACTAAATTTCGCGAAGAGAGATTTGAGAATTGCATAAAAAATGCATACCCAATTAAGAACGAACGGATTACTTTTAAACTCAAGTGCGTGTGTTTGTTCGCTGCACTTGGTTTATGCGGGAAATGCATAAGTCGCTTAAACACTATTAATCCAATAGACAGAGCAATAATTTAATTGAACATGTATGCGTCACAAACTTATCTCCGTCATCATATATGCCTGGGAAACATACATATTTCATGTGAAAATCCGTTAGTCCAAGAACTTCATCAAACTCTTAGTGAAACTTTTAAGCCGTATAATACCGATGCGTAAATGGTCTTAAGGTATCAGATTAGCTTATGCCCTGTTTATACTTCAGAGTGAAAAGTAAAATATATAATTTAAAATGTAAAAAAATTAAAAATTTAAAACGCTAGCGCAAATCAGAAACTTCTGGCGACAGCTGCAGACGTTACCACATATTCCCAACGATTAAAACCATTGTCCTTTCGGCACCTGACTGGGTTGGTGTGAGGCCTGCCGCAGGCTTTCCGGAGGACTTACGTTTTTCTATATTTTTTTGTGTAAATTTTTTTAAATTTTGTTACTGTTATTTTTCACACTATTGTTTGTTTCCTTTGCCACTTTAGCGCCCATTACATTAACTTTGCCTGCATTTGAGCGCTTGCACAACACATACCGGTATGAATGTGTATGAGTCGACATTTCTGTTGTCTTTGTGTCTGTGGCTGGGAAAATAAGCCGCAACAACAGCTTTTATTTAGGCTTGTAGTATTAACACGTTCACATTCACATTTTCTGGCAACAGCAGCAAACACTTGCTTAGGTGTCCATGGGTTGCGAAAAAATAAATACGAAGTAGTTATTTAATCTCGTTACCAATATTTAACAAATGCATTGCCACTCGTTGATATTTTCCGGAAATGTCATAAAAAAGTGCATTTGGAGTTAGTGCAAGTTGTTGAAATTTCCCCCCGCAAATCCGAGTCGGTCGAGAATTTCAGTCACACTCTTGGTATTGTGATTCTACTTCCGGAACAATTTCGTGCTAATTGAAATTTTTTCTGATATGAAGTTGGCTATTTCTAATCGAGTTTGCCATCTTTTGAATCCGAAACAGAGACAATAAATTGTCCACTCGGACTCACACTCCTTCAAAGATTGAAAACTGTCTATACATACAATTGTAGGTTAAATAATATAATTGAAAAAAATTTACTTGTATTCATTATTAATGTATCTTTTTTCCCTGGAAATTCTAGTTGCTATGCCTAGTTCCTGGCAACACCCTATACAATGAAAATGCCTGTGGAGAGGTAAATTAATACGTGTGTGCACTATTGGCGTTTTGTCTACGAATACTTATTCATATTTACATATATACAACCTATCGGTTTATACCCAGTTTCTCGTAAATAGAGTGTAACCTTTCAACTTAATCCAGCGACAATACACCTGTTCGTTCGCTTATACGCCCTACTTCTCCGGAACTGGTCAGCTCATTGAGTGACTGTATGTCTGACTGACTAACGGACCACTTGACTAGTTGACTGGCTGTCGAGTGACTGGCCATTCACACCGTGCCACCATTGCCCGCTGCGAAAGTTCACGCCAGTACAGTGGTCTCGTTGCATGAGAATGCTGCAATGTCTTGTTAATGTCGTTTTTGTGCTTTTAGTTCGCATTGTTATAGCTGTTTGTTAGTCTTGTTGTGCTGTTGTGCTGTTGTCGGCATTGTTAGTATTTTTGCATAAATAAATTCTTGCAGCGTGGTACAAATAGCAGCGGATTAAAGTCTTTACCCCAGTGAGTGTTACATCCTCGTACACACACATAAGCGTACTCGCACACAAGCAAAATGTGTAGGATCCCTGCAGTAAAATTTAGAGACAGTCTGACAAAGCGCTAGTTCCGAACTACATATCTCTGAACTGGTGCAAAAGGAATGCAGAGCGGGACAGTTGAAACTTGCGGTGTAAATGTGCAAATGCTCACTGCTGGTACAATACGAAAGTAGCTCAGCGAGAAGACCTCCGACTCAACCATCGTTGGTCGCGAGTTCAAATCGCGGTGGAGGCAGTTGTGAGTTTTTAAATTTAATGAATTTAAATTGTTGCGTGCAGCTTACAATATTTTTTTTTTTTAATAAAATGTGTCACAAAAACGGAATCTTTAAAAGAAAAGAAAAAACGAAAAAAATCCAAAAATCGAATCGCAAAAACGTTTTGTTATACAAAAAAAAAATGGAACCAGTTAAAAACCGGTTGCAAAGTAATGCACTGGGCGACAATTGCCACCGCCAATGACATCGCCGTGCAAAACTGGACAGTTGAAAGCATTGCTTGGGTATTGAGCTAGAACTGGTACTGTCGGCAAAAGGTCTAGTTCTACGCTAGTTCTAGGCTAGTCAGATTTTCTGCAGGGATGTGCTCGTGTTCTGTGATATTCTTCCTCTTGTCGTCACTTACGGCACCTATACACTTACGCGTCTACGTACTTCTTCTCTTTCGCTCTGCTACCCTTCATTTTTGGGCATCTATTTTTGCAGCTGTTTGCCGCATAACATTTGTGATGTGCAACATTTCAAGGATTTCCTTTCTGACGTCTGAAGTAGCTTAAATTTTTATAAGCATAAAGTATTTCTTGTGCCATGAGCTACCATCTGTCTACTGCACAACGTGACACCCAATCTAGCTAGCTAGCTAGCTTGCCACTCATGCGCCTTCCTTAAGTGCAGGAGCTTAAAAGTGCTGTAAACTCGGAACTACTTGCCAAGCTCCTCATTGTGTTGCGTAGGGAATTTAGTCGTAAAATGTGTGGCATTTACCACTGCATTTGCGGCACATCGCCACAACCGTTGCTCAGTCACCTACTGCACGAAAGTATGCACATACATACATATGTAAATTCTTTGAGTGAGTGTAGCGCGTGGATGGAGCGTTCGGTATTTTTATATGCCACCAGAGATCTGGCAAAAGCATGAATGTCATTTTTCGGTATGGGACGAAGGTATGAAAGGGTTTATTGCTCACATTAAATGAGTATTGTGTGGTGTTGCAAATACTACTATGTAAAGCTTAATTACCCTTATCTAAATAAAGCGTTAATTAGCTTCAGGTAAAAAAATATTTTTAAGTATACTATATATGTAACTGCATATAAAAATGCCGAAATGGCAAGTTGGTATTCTCTTAGGTATGTCGGAGAAGCCAAAAAGTTGTCTCGCTTGCATCAGAAACGATTTTACAGCTGTTTTAAAACATCAATAATTATCCTATGTTCAAATAATACTTATCGTTCATTGCATAAAGATTAATTTATGTCTTTGCCATTTCTTTCAATTTACTCTTTCATTACTATTAACAAAGGCAATTTAAAATATATTTTTGGATTGTTCTATGTATTTAAATGCCTTCTGCAAACTCCGTAATAACGACATAACTCAAATTATAAAAATTTTCAGTAGAGCCAATTAAAATTTTCGTATTACATATGTGCAGTGATTCTATAGTGAACATTTTTAAGCTTTCAAAGATTTAGTAAGGTTCAGTCTGGAAAAGTTATTTTATTTAAACAATAAGGAAGATATGTACGCTTATGGATTAAGTTAACATGTAGAGTAATCTAACAATTTCTTACGATAAATTAAGTCAAAAATAGTTGAACTTCATGGGTTGCAGACTATAAGTCGGTTAGTCTAGACTTAACTTAACTTACGGAAGAAATCTTCAATGATTACTAAACACGTTAATTTAGCCAGAAGGGAAAATTTATTGTTTTTGTATTTTCCTTTTCAGCTGATTGTCACTTTGCTGCCTATATTTAAGCTACATCAAAATATTTCTGAACAAAAATATTTTGTGTTGGTCATTATATTAGGTTGCGTTACGTAAATTAAGTCTAGAGTAATTGAGACTTTAGATTTTCTGACAATTGCGTCCTCTATAGGATTGGTAACAATTAGATATAAGTCGATTTTCCACAGAGAAATATAGTTATTTTGTAACCCAATCCTCTATATATTTTAAATGCAAGAACTATTGAGTTATGTCGTTATTTGAGAATACCATCGATATGTACTTGCCTGTTTTATTTTATATCTCTCAATTATTTCATAACTTATTTATTTGAATTTCAAATAATAACACCATTTTACATTTTCTTTTTTGTAGGCAAACCGTCAAAAGTCATCCACTTGCGTAACATTCCAAATGAATCCAGCGAATCAGATGTCATCTCATTAGGTGTACCGTTTGGTCGAGTTACAAATGTGCTCGTCCTTAAGGGCAAAAATCAAGCTTTTCTCGAAATGGCCGATGAAGTATCCGCGACATCGATGGTCTCGTGTTACACTGTCACCCCTCCTCATATGCGCGGACGCATGGTTTACGTGCAGTTCTCCAATCATCGCGAATTGAAGACAGATCAGAGTCACAACAATGTGAGTTTCAAATATAGCTATTTGTGACTTTTTTTATCATGAACTTAAATTGCGCGAACAAAGCTTTTTGTTTGACTTTTGTAGTAATATGTAGTTACGTTGTAAGTTCGTGTACATACTCCCCAAATGTGAAATGGAGATTGTTTTAATAAAACGATTGAATTTCTCATTTGCGAAGTTGCACCAGTTGTTCATCCTGAGTGAGAACAAATTCCTCTGCCCTTGGTTCTTCCACCGTATTCCTTGGCGCCCGGCTTTCGTTGTCCGCCTGGTTGCCGAACCGAAGGATCTTTTCACTGGAGCTTTGTCGTCCATGCGTACAACATGCCCGAACCAGCGCAATCGTTGCAGTTTTATGCTTTTATGTCCATGCCGTTAAAACGCTTGTACAGTTTGTCTTTCCATCGTCTTCGGTACCACTCGACCACGCGATCAGGGATATAGATCTTGCATAGGATAGCTCTCTCTCGAAAGCCCCCAAAACCTTCTGGTCTTTGTTCGAAATCGTTATGTTCTATATAAAAGAGCAGATATGAGTACATCTGTATATCAATATCAAGTCGTACAGTGGTTGTGCATTCCTAGGCATAAGGCTTAAAGCCTATTGGAATATTTATATGCATAAAAATACATACGGGGTATTCACGATCCGGTGCATATGGTCTAACATGGTGCATAGATAGCATAAATAGCATGATTGTTGTTGTTTCATGTATTCAAACAACAACAAAATTAGCCAATCATGCTATCTATGCACCATGCTAGACAGTATGCACCGGATTGTAAATATCCATATAGTTACCAGAAAGATACATTTCTAGACATACGCAGGCTTTAATATTTTGCGACGTAGTTTCTGATAAACATACATATGTATGTACGTATGAATGCATATGTACATACCTACCAGCAGCTGTAATTAGTTGGAAAAAATATCTGTACATAAATATACATTTGTACATACAATAACAATTACGTAGATAATTCGAATGGAAATTCACACGCACAAAATGGACGCTCATTGCAGTCATTAATTTTAAATATTCTCATTTATAGAAAATATGGATAGACGTGTAACATATATCTGGTATACAGTTTGTCTGGTTAAAGTCATTTAAAGACCCGCATCCCTGCGCACTGCTATTGGGTGCGCATCCACAAACTACCACAGAAGGTGGTTAACCCGACACTTTTTAATTAATCACAATTTGTAACAAATTATACCCAAAGTATGCTTTAAATCACGGACAGCAAACGAACCCAGTTCACTGCTGGCAAAGACATTGAAAGCATACCCAATCAACATTTTTATTAAATCAAACTGTTGGTCACTATCGATACAGCAGACTATTTTTTTCTTTCGCTTTTAAGCTTTAATGCCCACTCAGTAGCTTATTTCTGCAGATCAGTCACAAAATGATTAAACACAAAATAATATTATCAAAAAATGTTCACTCAAGTTAATAAATTAAATGTTCAATTCACTCATAACAGCGACCGCGTGGTCGAGGACCCATTTTGCGATTGATAGACTTCCACATTTTTGCTTAGTTGACACAGATGAACGGAACGAAGTGCTAAACAATTATTTCTCAAACCGTTCTGAAGTTGATAAACAATATTTGAGAAAAATTTTAGTTTCAAATGATAAACAATGCTGAAAATCAAATTGAGATAAAGATTTCCTTAATCGTTTGAAAATGTTTGTTCTAGTGTTTGTTGGGTATGTAAATGCCAGTGCACACACCTGTGTACTACATATGAATGTGTACAGATATAAAGAATCGTTTATCCACATTTAAAACGGCATTTGTGGCCGTTATTTCGACTTTAACCCTGGTAGTACTGCCCTCATTTACAACTTAAACCCTCACGTATTGCTGCATACACCTTCACGCACACATGTAACCCTAAGTGTATGTGCCTTTGTGCGCCTACATATAATTTCGTGCGAAAGTAAGTGATTAATTTTGTTGTTTGGAGACTGCTTTGTTGTCTGTCACCTGCCAACGTTTTTCATGAAAAGGTCAAAGGAGACTGTTTAAGCTAGTAAAAGGGTGCAAATGTGCGTTTGTCAGCGTTCGGAATATGCCAGTAAGTCAGTCATGCAGACGTTTTCTGTCTGTTGCTCCAGCCTGTCACTGAGTGCGTCAATTGGGCATCCTACATAAGTCAAGTAGACAGCTATGTCTTGTTTTGTTACTCCACCCCAATCCTCCGCAACCCCAACACATTTACAATAAATGAAGATTTAGTTGCCGTGACAAGGTAAGAAAACTACAATCTGTTACATTTCACTGATTACCGACAACATATCTTAAACACTCGCGATATATGTAGATATAGTGCATGCCTCTGGCTACATAAATATACCTTGGAAATGTTGAGATTAAGTAAGTTTGACATACGTACATAATATTTAGTATTTGTTTTATAAAAGTGCAGTTCAAAATTTGTACAAAAGTTATAAAAATTTCCACCATAATTTCAATCTTTTTATTCAGAATATTAAGAAAAATGGTCGATATGCAGTTTTGTAGCCCAAATTACGGTTGATTTTCGAGAATTTTGCCTGTCGCATTTGCCTTCATCTAACGAATAAACGCAATTTATTATTTTAGGTGTGTATATTCACCGATCCTATCCCATATAAGCTAAAGGTGATTTCAATTTTTAAAAGCTTTTATTTAATTTGCACTTTATGTATGTATGTAAGCATGTTTGTTTGGGCCAAATCTTGCAATCGATTTTTAACCAACTTCCCGATCAGCTAGATACTTCAATTTTTAAACCTAGTTTAGAACCCGATGGCATGCCATATGGAAGACGAATTAATCCGGCGATCTATTTGAGAACCCCGTATATAGTATGATTTAGCTTACATTTGGAATATAATATATATTATATTTCTTAGATGAAAAGGACTAACTCCACGCAAAATTTCGTCGATAGGTGGCACAGGAGTTGCGATAGTTGGAAAACTCATATGGTAGGATTTGGTTCATATTTGTATTCAAAATATTTTTTTTTACTATTCACTTAATTCAATTTGATTTTCCTCGAAGAATAAAAACAAGCAGATCGGTTTGCGTTGGACACAGCATACTTTGCCAATCGCTGAAAAAAGATCGTGTCGATTGGCAAAAAGAAATGTTCAAGACGTGTGAATATGAACACGAAACTGAACCACGATGGACTGTATGGTCTTTCAAGACGAGCCTAATCCAGGAAACGTTGTTCACGCACCTCAAAGCAAATGGTCGCCGGGACTTTGCCGAATAACTGGACACCGTTTCAGTAACGGTCAATTCTTAATATTACACCAGTATATGATTGCCGGACAATGGAAGTTCTCACACATTAGCTAAAAAAAAAACCGTTTTTGAGCATGCATGTCATCGAATTGGTGGGTCATTCGCTCAACAGTCTTGGTTTAGCACCCAATGATTTTTTCTTATTACCACAGATAAAAAATATATTGCTGGGTCAAAGTTTTCTGTCGGCTGACCGCATGTTTTGAATTAAATGTTTCAAGTATATGCAAACATCACAAATAGCACTCGGTATTACATAATGTTCTGAGTGCGTTTACCATTGAAAATGTCAAACTCTACGATGCCAATGCTAAATTGGATATATTCACATTAGAGTTACAATATTTCAACACTTAAGTATCAGGTAATAAGAGGGAAGTCGACTTTGTTTGCTAATTTGTGCTTGGTATACGCAATCGTACCGGCCGTTGTGGCTGTGAGGTGCGTCTACCAATCGGTTGTTCCGATAAACAGGTGTAACGTTTTCTTCAAAATTATGTGGCTACCTACTTAATGTATCTGGAATGTTGCGGTGGTACCTTCAAGTCACTTCGTGTCTCTTGTGCATAAATAACCGGCTACTTGTAACCGAATGCATCTGAAAATGAATAAGCCAAAAAATAAACTTAATTTGCATGCTGCCTGCAATGGAATTTGAAATTAACAATTGTGACAAGCATCTTTACGCACTCAGTTACAGGCAGACATGTAAATTTGCTTTCAAATCTTGAGTTTGAATCAACACCACAGTACGCAGTTAGTGCATTCATCGGCGTAGCCAGAATGAAATTTAGAGGGGGGACTCGACCCTATTAAGCTGGCATTTCAGGGTACTATTTTATATGTATATAAGGAAAATTTGAAAGTTAGTGGGGGCGGCTCGAGCACCCCCCTGCCCCTACCTGGCTACGCCCATGAGTTCATTTGTACATACACATTTTTAATTATGAAAAGCATCCGTACAGTGCGAAACGCCATCCGTGAAGTGCAAAATGCTTCATTTTAATAGGGACGTATTTGAATTGAATATTCCCATTACAAACATTACTTTTGAACACGTTTTCGTTTGGTTCAAATACGTTTTTATTTGATTTTACTATTTTTTCTCTTCAATGTATGTATACCCAGATGTGGGCATTCTAAATTTTAGGCTTGCTATATTTTGGTATGAAAATATTATTTTTAAATACGAACATTTTTAAACGATAACTGCATAACGCAGTGTATGGAAACTCATACCGCCTTAAATTATAGGAACAGCTTTGAAAAATGATTATAATTCTATGCAAAACTGAACACCGTTCCACAAAAAAAAAATAAAGTTAACAGGTGTTGACGGTGCGTATTATTTAGTAAAACTGAAACCACCAAAAAAAACCAAAAATGTGGCAGAACTGAATGAACCTCTGGACAAAATTTTCACTGGCTGTATAGGTGAAGTGGAAGGAATGGATTCTGGAACTTCCTGCTTGCAATACTCCCTCAGGTCTAATAGTTTTCCCGTCAAAGGTTCGCTTTTATCTCTGCGCGCATAATGCACAGCCCTATCTGTCAAAAAAACACACGGAGTTAAAAGATCTAACTTTCTTGGTGGTTCCTAAAAGTCCAAAAAACAGTGCTACATTTTGTTTTTGGTAACGGTTTTCATTATGTACATACATATATACTTACTTAGTATCTATTTTT